TCTGTCAGTTTCAAGCAGTCTTTACTGAAGAAATGTCCCTGTTCTAAAATGGCGAAGCGGGACGAACTCCCTGCGTGCCTGGTCTGCCCCGGCGGTGGGTTCCCGCTCCCCGTCTGGGCTTGGACTGCAGGCCAGAAGGTGCCTGGTGTGGGCAAACTTCCCAGCTCACCTCTGGCTCCTCCAGGAGCCTTCTGCTGATTTCAGGCAATCTTTACGAAGAAATGTCCCTGTTCTAAAATGGCGATGAGGGATGCACTCCCTGCATGCCCGGTCTGCCCCGGCGGTGGGTTCCCGCTCCCCCCTGGGCTCGGACTGCAGGCCAGAAGGGGCCTGGTGTGGGCGAACTTCCCAGCTCACCTCTGGCTCCTCCAGGAGCCTTCTGCTGGTTTCAGGCATTCTTTACTGGAGAAATGTCCCTGATCTAAAATGGCGATGCGGGACGCACTCCCTGCGTGCCCAGTCTCGGGCACACTCTCCTCGCGCCCCGTCTGCCCTGGCCATGGGTGCCCGCTCCCCCTCTGGGCTTGGATTGCTGGTCAGAAGGGGCCTGGCGTGGGCGAACTTTCCAGCTCACCACTGGCTCCTCCGGGAGCCTTCTGCCAGTTTCAAGCAGTCTTTTCTGAAGAAAGGTCCCTGTTCTATGGGGTGTTGGTGTTTTTTTTCTGGTCGCTAGGTGGCGCCAGAGATCTCTCCTAGCGTCCTTGGGGAGCTGTTTTTTCACCCCGTGGGACAGGGAACAGAGTGGGAGTGGTGGGAAAGTCCTCAACGGCTTTGGGGTGCTGTGTCTACCTTGTGCCCCACCGTCGTGGGGAACCCATGCCCCGATTTTCGTGCCCCGGGTCTCAGTTCCAAAGCCCTCAGGTCCACGACGAAGGCTGTAGCCCAGTTCAGTGTCCGCAGAAATGGCACCTTTTGCACCCCGCTCCCGTTCCCCGGGCGCTTGGTCAGTGAGGGACATTCACCTCAGTGAGGGCCCCCGCGCGTCTTCCTGCAAGCCTAGGTCGCAGGCGCAGGGACCTGGGCAGCTGCGATCCGCGTTTGCTTTTCAAGCATGCTGCTTTTCCACACAAGCTTACCAGCTGTCCTGGGGCTGTGTGTAGGTCTCCGGGAGTCTTTGTTTTTCTCTAATGGCGCCTGGAGCCGTTCACTCACCTCCGCAGCGAATCCTGCAGGGTTTTCCACAGCTCCAGTTCACGGGGTGTGGTGGCTGAAATAGTTCCTTGCACTCACAGTCCTGCTTGATGCGTAGTTTGTTCTTGTTGGTTGTTTTAGTTTTTTTGTTTTTTCCTCCTTCCTGTTGGTCGGAGAGTGCCAGCTTTGTGGATGGGGGAGGGTAGCAGGGTTCTGAGCTTTCATCCCTTCTAGTCCTCTTTTATGGCAACTTCCTTCTTCTGGTAGTTTGCTGGAGTCGTCCATTTATCTTCCGTGTCCCAGTTCTCACTGGGACCTGCTGCTTTTCCTCCCTATTAACTTTTTTAATGGGAGATCTTACTCGCAGTGTTTCCTCGCCGCCATGTTGATCCGCCTTCCCTATATCCACCCTTTTAATATTATGCAAAGGGCTAGCACCTTCCTCTAGGTGTTTAGCTTTTCTTTATGTTATAGTTTATAATTTTCGCATAATTGAGTATATCTGTACTTTTATGATTTTTATCTTTAGTTTCTTAGAAAGTCATTTTCTACTCAATATTTTAATGTATTCACCAATATATATTGTATTTTTAAAATTTATCCTACACATTAAATAAAATTTTTTCCTAGTACTTATTTTATGTTAAGGTATAAAATGTAGGATTCTACTTTTTTCCTAAGTGACTCCTAGTTTTTTCCCACATCAAAATTGCATCCCCTCCATTGTTCTTGCCCTGTTTCAATAATCTCTATTGTAGTTACCACCTTATAACTTACTATGTTATATTTAACTATTTTATTTATGGTCTTTACAAAAATACAAACATCATGAAAAAAATTTTGCCCATTTTGTTGACTGCTGTATCTTCAGTGGCATGTAGTAGGCACTCAATGAGTTGAGTGAATCAGTTATTGAAAAAGTTTATCTTCTTCAATGATTTTTCAATGATTATTATGCAACCTAACATAGTCTGTTTCCAGACTCTATTCCATGTTTTTTACTAATCTTTGGATTACAACACATTTTTCACACATGAAGGTATAATTTGCAGCATACTAGAAGTTTTTTTTTTACTTTAGGTACAACTTATATGTAATGAGTTGTATCATTTTGTAGCCATTCTGTGACTTGTGACTAACACCTTTGTCACCACCCTTAGAATCATCACACAGAGCAAAGTCTATAATCCCCTCAAAATTTTTCAGATTCCTTTGTGTTCAGCACCTTCCTCAAGCCCAGCCCTTGGTAATTACTGATCTATTTTCTTTCCCCATAGTTTTACTTTTTCTAGAATGTCATTTAATGGAATTGAACAGAATATAATCAACTTAAATTAGTTCCTTTTACTTAGCACAATACACTGTACTTTGCACAATACAGTCCATATTTTTTTAAATATTTATTTGTTTGTGCATATAAGAATTGGGGTACAGGCCAGAGGTATGAGGGGGTGAGAGGATTCACCAGAGACAGAGTGGGGAACAGAACCGGCAGATTGACTGAAATACACTGCTGAGGGGAGCAGCAGACAAGTCAGGAGAGGGTTGCTGCACCATGTAAATCACCTGCCTGGCTCGGGATAGTGTCATAGTGCTGCTTATGCCACCAGGAAGGGCCAGAGTCTTCCATATTAAAATGTATCAGTAGTCTGTTTCTTTTTATTGCTGAGTTGCATTCCATTACATGAATATACTGTATTTTCTTATCCATTCAACCATTGATTGATATTATTATTTCCAATTTTGACCTATTGTGAATAATGTGGCTATGAACTTTTACACTCAAGTTTCATTTATATGTTGTCATTTCTGATACGTTATGCTTTATTTTCTACCACCTTACTTTGCTTTCTGTATTAAACACTTCCTTGATATTTTCTTTTAAAATTTTTCTGTATTTTGCAAATAGGGTTGTTTTGGATTTGTATATCCAAAATATAAAAAGAATTTTTGAACTTCAAAAATACCATGGGCTTGTAGAGAGAGCACCAAGGGTAAACTCCCTTTGAAGTGGCCAAAAACATTTTTTTGTCTAATTTGCTATAAATTGATATTTTATCCATTTCATTTTTTACTAATATGAAATTTACAAACCTGTTTTTAGAAAACACAATTATGCCTTTATTTCTCAATATCCACATTAAACTGAACTTAGACCAGAAGATAAGAAATGAAACGTTTTTATTTGTACTTAAAAACATTACATCTTAAACTGTGTGAGAAAACCTACAAATTTAAATCCATACTATTATCGAGAATTTTGTTATTTATTTGTTTATAGAATGATATTTTTCATTTCCACTTGCCACATTACAACAATATTTAAATTCCTGAATTTTGATTTCATTTCTTAACACCCTTTCTCTGAAAGGTATATCCTTATTCCTACCATCTTCATTTTGATTCACTGCTCAGTTGACTTGAGCACTTCATTGTATAAATTATTTTTCAGAAAGTTACATGACTGTTATGATTTGAGTTTCTGTATGTTAGAGAGTGCCTGTCTGTCTCTTCCAAATTTGAACCATACTATTTTGGATGTAAAGTTATCAAGTCAAAGTCCTTTCCCTGCAAACTTTTGCACACAATGTTTGAAGCTGCATTTGTACAGCACACTCTTTAAAAACAAAACAAACAAAAAAACTGAATTATATATTTACTTGGAGTAGTTTTGGTCGGCACCAAAAGAGATAGTAAGGGCAAAATTTTCTTCAAGCCATGCTTTTGAGCCCCATAATTCTTACAGGTATAATTCTGTATGTTGACTTTGTTAGACAAGTTCAGATTTATTGTTGCATTTCTTTGTTACCCAGAGACACATTAGTCTGTGTGGTGTCAGAAGAGGCTTTTATTAAGAGAATGACAACCTCACGGGAGAATTCACCTCTTTTAGTCAATCAGTTCTTCAGCCACATCGTCCTCAGCCTGTGTAGAGGTGATGGGCACAAGTGAAGAAAGGAGGAGGCTAGAGGGAGTGAGGTGCTCACCTCAGGTTAGCTTACCAGTGTTCATCCATCATCATATATGGGCAGTGCCCCACTTCTGTTTAGCGCATGTCTTTTCCATTCCCCAGTTTTGGGCACAGACTAAGAGCACTACCTTGGGATCAGTCCCACAAGTTGTGAAATTTGAGTTCTTGTTGGAAGCTTCAACATGGCAAGAAATTGCTCCCCAACAGCTACCCTGTTTCAATCTATAGAGTCCAACAATCTTTCTCCTCCTATTTAAGGAAAAGAACCCAGTCTCTCCAGTGTTTCTCCTTTGAGATGCTTCTTACTAAAATCCCTCATCTCCAAAGTGCACTTGCAACCGTATATGTGACTCTTTAATGTTTTAGCTGTCTTATTCAGAAGATGTCTTGTTTCAAGAAATATATATTACAGGGCAAATGTGTCCTTTACTTTCCACCTATCCATGAAGTTCATTATTTTACTGATGTGAAAACAGATATAGCAAGTTTCACTGACTTGTCCAGGATCCCACAGTTCATTAATGAGAGCAGGAACACAGAGCTCTTCTGCCACTCCCTTCTGTTTCCATGCTGTGTTGCTTTACTTGATGATCTCAAGTTTAATATTACCATAAAGTTGGCATTGGGGCTTTGTAGGCAAGGGCAATGTTACTAAACCTTCAAAGTTTAGTGTTTTACTTGTATATATTTTACATATGAAAGTGAAAAATGTCATGAAGCAGAAAGGTAAAACATTTACAATGATTAATGAAAAGAACTTTTTATGCAACTTGTGAAGAATTTTCTGTTAAAATTCTATTTATAAAGGCCTTTGTTTATTGGTTAATTAATATTACATATTAGAAGAAATCCGTGATAAGCTCTTAGACTCTGAAATTTTGTATTTACTTTTTTGCAGGGGCAACATAATGAAAAAAATTATTCACTTAATTGTAGCATCCTTCACATTCAGGTAAGTGACACCTTAGAAAGAGAGCTTATTAAATATGTGTAATATTTAATATCAATTGTTTTAATTATAAAATATTTGGAAGGAAAAAGAAGACATTTTCATTGTCAATATGTTGCAGTAACCCCTGGGCCCCCATTTGATGTAAACTAATTTATCTTGGATTTTTTTGTCATTCATTTACATAACTATATTTTGGCACACATGCTTCATTCACCCTTCACTGTGTCTTAGAATTTTAATTTAAGCATAACAGTAAGACTTAAAAAAAAAAGGTATTTTCCTAAGTCTAATAGTAGCATATTAATATATTTTTGTACCTGTAAAAATAAAAATAATGAGCATACATCTTAAAATTCTAAAAGCATGGTGTTGTATTAAATCCCTTATTCATATAAAGTTTCTCCTTTATCCTGAACCATTCTGCTTTGGCTTTTTCTCCATATCAGAGTAAGATTTCATACTATGATACAGATTCACAAAATGTATTTCCTCTTAAATTTGAAATATTTTCATTTTCATTGCAATTTTAAAAATATATTCTGTAGATGAATTTACTCATTTTCAGATTATACAAATAGTATAACTTCTGGAGAATATGTTTAATATACAAGAGAAAGACTGAGAAAGTTACTTTAGAGTTCAACATGTAGATAATTATGAAATTTAATGCTTTATCATGTGCCCAGCACTGTGTTAAAAGTACCCATTAATATGTAATCTTATGCTTGTTGAAGAATCCCATTGATAAAAAATCTTATTGGTCAAAGTGGTCTTTTAGGGGATTTTATTAGTCTTTCACTTTTTTTTTTTTACTAAATTCTTAAAAATTATTAAGATTGATTAGGTCTTATTTATTATAAGAAATTGGTGGGAATCCTTATAAATTTTGCAAATTTTAACAACAGTTTACAAGGAGAGGCATGTAATTTTAACTCAGTTTAGCTTTTCTATTTGGCATATTAGTCTGATATACCCACTGTAAAAGGGTATGATGACATGATGTCATTTGGTGGAAATTTTATTTCCTTTTTTAAATTATTTTTTTGTTAAGGTCACATTGATTTACAATACTGTATATGACTCAAAGATACAGTTCACACCTCTTCAGATGTAAGTTACCATACCATGCCTGCCACCAAGGCATCCATAGTCTTCCACAATAGTCCACTGGTTTCTTCTCCCCTCGGCTTCCCACCCCCTGTGGTAGTCTCAATTCTATAGTCAGATTTCTAGGGTGGGTTTGGTTTAGTTTTGTCTGTTTCCTTTTGTTTGTTTGTTTTCTATATCCTGCATTATGAGTGAAACCATCCAGTATTTGTCTTTCTCCTTCTGGCTTATTTCACTTGACATATTCCCTCCAGTTCCACCTATGTAAGGAATTTTATTTCCTTAACAACTGCTTCTACTGAGTCAAGACTGAATAATTTTTTTGAGATTTTAAGGCAATGCAGTTCTCCTTACTACTGGACAACTTAATCCTAAATAATGACATTTTGGTATCAGATCATTGTAGTCTAACCATAGGGTTGAAAACCAGTTTATTTTATTTATTGTAGAATATTTGGAATTTTGCTGATCTTTTTGGATGTGTCCCTCGTCATTACAGACCTTGTCACTGATAATGCAATGTTCAGTCATTTGGAATATCGTTTAATTTCTTTAGCTATTGCTTTATTTTTCCTCATCGATGTTCTTCTTCGAGTATATGTAGATGGGTAAGTTTGACTAATTTTTTTAAAAACACATAAAGCTATTATGTACTGCTATGAGAAGTATCTCTAAATAATTACCAAGTCACTCCGAACAAATGTTTCCCACTTTTTCAAAATAACTCTCCTTGAAGGCCTGGTCTACAAGAGAAATAGTAGTCAAAATCCCAATTTCTGCTAGATTGGGCTTTTAATATTACTGTTGCAACTGGCACTGTAGTCTCCATAAATGTATTCTAGATGGTTCTTTCAAGGTAAAGCTTAAAGGGTTTGTAAAATGTGGCCAGGCAGCTTATGTGTCTACATGCACATTAAGAGGAACATTTATGGGCCTCCCCTGGTGGCGCAGTGGTTGGGCGCTGGGCTGCAAAGCTGCCCGCAGCCTCTGCAGCGCCAGTTTGATCCCCGGCCTCCAGCGAGGCTCCCACATGGCACGCAGACCTCTCCTGCCGCCTGCTGCTCCCCTCAGCGGTGTACTTCGTCAGTCTGCCTGTTCTGTTCCCCACTCTGGCTCTGGTAAATTCTCTTACCCTCCCGCACTTCTGACTGTACCCAGTGCTTGTATAAATTTAAAAAAAAAAGGGGGGGGAGCATTTATGTAAAATATTAATACTTTCATTTAAGAGTTGAATCCAAATAAAAGCTGACAGTACACTATAGACTAGATGTTAAATCTGAACAGCTTTCTACCTCAGTTAATATAAAAATAAAATAAGGTACAGAAGAGATAAGGCATGTTCATTCTGCCAGGGAGGCTTGGTAGTGAGGCAGCAACTGAATTTCTCGGCTTGTTGGCTTTCCAGGAAGATAAATGGAATGGGCCAAGCCTTGGAGCTGAACTGCTCAGGGATTAAATTCCCCAGCTTCACTTTATCCAGAGCATTTCAAAAGGCAACTTGTATCCTCTCCTGCTGAACTGATATCCTTATGCCTTTGAACTAAGGGCAGTTGCCCCCTTCTAAGTTATTAAGAGCCTGAAAGTGACTATCCTGGAATGGGAGGAAACTTCCTGGAGCATCAGTGCCTATGATTGAAGGAGCCAGTGTTATGGAGGAAGGTGGTGCAGTGGATGGAAATGCAGCCCAGGAATGGCCACACCAGCCCATGGGGATTATTCCAGTGTGGGTGCAAAACCAGAGAAGGAGTTTGCAAACCAAGATAGTGGACCCCCTCCCTCTTACAGGCTCTCCTTGTAAGCTCTCCGGCTATGATACTCTCCATTGTCCAGGCATACTGCCCAGCTTTCCACACTTCTCTCCCACTTGCATGGAGGCAGTGCTTGCTGCTTATTCAATGATTTGGCTATAGTTATTACTATCCCTACATTGCCACATTGATGCTTTTGTCATGTTTTGTTAAAATAGTGAATATGAATATTGTCCCCTTAGTCTAGTCTAGTAAATGTATTTTAAACAATTTAAGTACAATTCTTAATGGGAATGAGTAGAATGATTTATGCTCTTAAAATATTCTTTTCTCTTCTTTAAGAGGACATAAGCTTTTTGTTTGTTTGTTTGTTTTATATTACAGGATGAAACCTTATTTTTCTGATGTACTTAACTCCTTGGATGCTGGCATTATTGTGGTGACTCTACTAGTTAATATTGTTTATATGTTCTATGATTATAGGTTTCTTAATGATCTCCCCAGGTAAGAATGAATCACGTGAATCACCTCTCCTAAAGTTTGTCCTTTTTTTTTTTTTGTGCCTATTTTGTGGCTTTCATTTTGTTTAATATTTTTAACTCTGAATGTGCTGATTCTGTGCCAGATAAATTGCTTGAAAATGAAATGTTCTAAATAAATTTCTACATACTTAGAAACTAAAGGATGGTGATATTGGGACTAATGAAAGGAATATACACTAAGAACCTTTAATTCAATGAAGATGGAACACTTGAAAAAGGAACTGAGGATTTTGCCTTTTGTACTAACTTTAACTTTACTACATTTTGAAACTCCCACAAAATCCCCACTTGAGCTTCAACCACAAATTCCTTACAGATGAAATTCCTGGTTTTCTCCTATAACCAAAAGTGCCTTGGTTTGAGCATAAGCAAAATTTCAGTGACTACAGATAATGGCCTTCAAAAAAGGAAATGGAACAGAAATTTGGGTGACATGAATAGAAGCAGGGTTTTGTAGTATAGTTGAAATGAATAAGGCTGAAGCAAACTTGGAACTGTTGGGGACCAGGAAACTGTGAGACTGATGGCTTTTTCCCATTGTGGCAATGAGGAAAAGAAGAGCAGATAGTAGGATGTAGATATTGAGTGACTCACTAGGCTTATTCATTAATCAAATAGCTTGCTTCTTTTTGCACCCCAGCTCCTCAGGACTTCAGCTCAGGTCCCAATGAAACTTTTGGAATTTGAAAATAATCAGAACCTGTGTGGTCCTTCAACCAGCAACCTTTTCATCACCTAGAAGCTTGCTAGATGAAGAAAGAAAAACATTTCAGGTCCCACTCTGGACCCACTAAATCAGTATGCACTTTCAAGTTAGAGAAGCACTAGTTAACCCATCAGTTTTCTGCCTTGCTGTTTCTGATGGTAGGAGAGAAAGCAATGAACACCCTGGGGAAATGTCTCACTCTGCTGCCTGCCTGAAGTGTGTTAGCTCTATTCAACCTCTGTTACGCATGGAATGCAAAAGTGAACAAGAACATCAGTTTGTTTTGATGGGAATAAGACTGAAAATGCTCATCTGAAACCATTAAAGTTAATCTATAGATTCTAAGATTTTATCACATAACTATTTGTCTAGACCAGAGCTTCTCAACCTCAGCACTATTGATATTTTGGATCAGATAGTTCTTTGCTATAGGGCTGTCTTTTTCAATGATGATTAGCAATATTCCTGGTGGCAACTCACTAGATGCAAGTAGTGTGATATATTCACAGTTGTGATCACAAAATTGTTTCTAGATATTGACAAATTTTTCCCAGGTAAGTGGGTGGGAAGCACATGGGTGGGGGTGCAAAGTTGCCACTGATTAAGAATCATTGTTCTAGACTTAGCCCATATTGGCAGAATCCTGTTATTTTTTTTTATCATCTGTTTCCTAATAAAATATTGATCTTTTTAATTTATTGTTAGAAGAATCACAATTTTATTTCGGCCTCTACGGTTTATTATTCTGATAAGAATTCTTCACCTGGCTAATCAAAAAAGACAACTTGAAAAGGTGACCAGAAGGATGGTAAGTGAGGCAAAACATAATTATTACTCAGAAAAATGTGTTTCAGAAATATTGGCAAGGGTTGTAGATATCTATATAATGTTCTTTATTTTATGTTGGTTTATGTTTTACAAATTCTTACTGTTTTAATATTTCAGGTTTCAGAAAACAAACGACGATACAAAAAGGATGGATTTGACCTAGACCTCACTTATGTTACTGGTTTGTGAAGTTTGTTGATTTACTTATATAACTTCACATTTTTCTTATGTGTGAGTAGTTATGTTTATTTTGTTCTTGCCTTGTCTAAGCCATGCTCTTTCAAAGCATTCTTTGTCCATGAAGACATATGCTTTTATGGTGAGACATATTTATAGTTTTAACCTGAAAATGGAATAGCTGTATTGTCATCTCAAATCAGCGCTACTTGGTTAGAGTACAGAAGTTGAATGGATTTTTACCTGACTCCATATTTTTTTGTTAGCATTTATTGAGTTCTACCAGTAATCTGAGGTCCCAAGGATCCCATAGAGACTTATTTTCTTCCTAGAACCCCAATGAATAAGGTATTTGTTTTGTAAGTTTCAAATTTCTGAATCAGGAGCATTGGAAAGCACCCTATCAGTTCCCACGATATGTGGAGCCCAGATCTCTCATTTTGTCTTTGGGGTTTAAAAAGTAAATTGCTACCACAGGGAGTTCTGGATTGAGGTCAACTGGAGTTTACCCACTATGGCTGGAAACAATTGAGTCTTGAGCACATATGCAAGTTTAATGGACATTACATTAGATAATTTAATGTTATCTTGATTATCCTGAGGATTAACTAGCTTTTTATTTTTGTCATTCTCAATCCTTAAAAGTTCTTTTCTATGAAAAAAAAGGCTAATTGTGTTTAAATTAAGTTCTCAGATTGTTTCATTCTATAATGACGTAGATAACAGTGACTATTTTGGCTTCTAGAGCGTATTATTGCCATGTCATTCCCATCTTCTGGAAGGCAGTCTTTCTATAGGAATCCCATAAAGGTAAGGGTGTTTATCTAACAAATGTTTATATTTTTCAGTTAGCATAGACTGTGTCGTAAGTTTAATATTGGTCCTGAGATGGCAAAAATTCAGTTTCAGGTAAAAAATTATAATGGATTGATATAAATTAGGTTTTACTGTGTTATGAATCACCCAAACACAGTAACTTATAATACTATTAACTTAATTCATGATAACATGTTTTGTGATTTTGGATTGGTCTTACCTGGGTTCTGCTGATTTGGGAGAGGTTTAACTAATCTCAGCTGGACTAACTCAAGCCTCTGTAGATAGCTACTGGGAATCTGAGGATTGGCTAATCTAACAAGTGATCTGATTGGATGGCTCCATGTGCTGTCTCATTCAGTAGCAAGCTAGTTCAGGTTTGTTCACATGGGAACAGTGGCAAGGATCCCAAGCTGCAAGCAGAAGAATACAGAGTCCTTAAAAGCCCAGGCTTAAAACTGGTGTGTATGAATATGTGTGTGAGTATCCTCATTCTATTGGAAAAGCACATTACAAACTCTGGCCTATGAAGTAGAAAATAGACTTTATCTTTTGATAGCAGGAATTGCAATGAGTTGTGGCCATTTTGGGATTTTTTAGCTAAAATGTATGTTCTTTAGCTAAATGTATGTTAGCTTAAGATTCTAAATTATAATGGAGGCATACTGCTTTAGGTTCTATGATTTAAATGAACTCAAATGTAAAATGCTGTTTACTATAAAATTCAAGCTAAAAGGGGTTTTAAGAAGTTAACATACATGTGTATGTCTACATTAGTGCAATTTATAGTATTTGTTATGTCAATAAAATAGAAATATGTAATTATGTGTATATGTCTGAATATAAGTTATATATGCATTAACTAAATGCATATATAATTATATAGAATTCTTTTATTGAGGCAAAACAAATACTGCCAAGTGCACGATGCACTAATATTAAGTATTAGCTTGATGAAATTATATATAGGTATATATACATGCAGCCAACAACCCTATCAAAATATAGAATAGTTCTTGCTCTTTTTTTTTAAAAGTAATTAGAGCCTATTTTTTTTAAAGATTTATTTATTTATACAAGAACCGGGGTATAGGCCAGATGCACGGGAGGGTGAGAGGATTCACCAGAGACAGAGCAGGGAATAGAATAGGCAAACTGATGAAATACAGTGCTGAGGAGAGCAGCAGGTGAGACAGGAGAGGTCTGCCGCACCATGTGGGCTTCTCGCCGGCCAGCCGGGATCGAATCCGTGCTGCAGAGGCTACCGACAGCTTCACAGTGCGGTATTCAACCGCCTGCGCCACCAGGGAGGCCCAGTTCTTGCTCTTTTTTAGTCACTATCCAAACACACCAAATGTAATTACTATTCTAACTTATGTTACTTTGTCTTGAATTTCACGTAAGTGGAATTATATACATCTTTTTGGGGACTGGCATATGCATAACATAAATTCTAAAAGATTCATTCAATATTGTTGTATGTACCAGTAATTATATATATAACTACAGGACTGTGTGTGTGTGTGTATAGTCATGTATTGCTTAACAATGGGAATACATTCTGAGAAATGCATTGTCAGGCAGTTTTGTCAGGAGAATGTCATAGACTAGTTACACATACCTAGATGGCATAGCATTAATATTTACTGCTTTCTAGACTCTTGAAAGCCCAAGTATTTAATTTACATACAGAAATTACATAACTATACACCTTTCAGAAAGGCAGAAAATACATTACATTCTCTGAAATCTACTTTACAGAAATTTTAAAAGTCCAAACAGCAAAAGGTACAGATAAAGAAGCAGGTATAAATTTGGAGGCCAGTAATTTTGACAGAAAAACTATACAGCTTGCATGGCTTTTTTTTTTTTTAAAGGTTTATTTATTCATATACACAAGAACCAGGATACAGGTCACAGGTACAGGAGGGTGAGAGAATTCACCAGAGACAGAGCGGGGAACACAACTGGCAGTCTGAGTGAAATACACTGCTGAGGAGAGTGGCAGGCGAGACAGGAGAGGTCTGCCATGCCATGTGGGATTCTCGCCGGCCAGGAACTTTTTATATGTATAGAGCTTTTTATTACTCCTACCCTAGTACTATCCAGACTTAGAGTGTCTTTTTGACTTACTATTTCCTCCTGACAGTTGTAACCAATTTAATATATTGATTACTTTTCATCCATTTTCTTTTTCTCAATATTAAAAGTAAACATTGTTCTGAGGGTACTATGCGAATAATTTTCTGAACTTTATTTTCATTTTGTTTGCACAGAAATACATGCACCTGTGTATGTATTTCAGATGGGTAAGTATGCTGGAAATATTGTCATATTAGTATAGTGATATTAACTGCATTTTAAATAATACCCACTGTTTTTTAAATTTTAAAGTACGAAAATGATCAGTGGGCCATCAATGACTCAAAATGTTCATACTCTCTTATCCCACCCCATAAGGTGCTAAATAAGAAATAGATAAAAAGTGATAATAATTTTCAGTTACACCCAGGAAATGGCTTATGTTGTCATATGAATGCATGTTTTGTGTCCATCTTTTTTAGGAAGTTGCACGGTTCTTGGATACCAAGCATCAAAACCACTATCGAGTCTACAATCTATGCAGTAAGTATATAAGTAGATATTATGTTACTATACATAGAAAACAGATCACTGCATTTAAGAAGGTGATTCAGTTTTTAGGTTTCATTTAATCATATGTATTTGACAGTAGTGGGAAGGGAATTTAAAAAATCTCCATTTTGCACTGGCTCTGTTGGTAGGAAAAGATAGCTCAACAACAGTGTCTTGTGAGGAAGGCTGGAGTGGAGTTAGAACCATTTTCAGAAGAGCCTGCTGTAATGGTATTTGGTTTAAGAAAATAGTTCCATTTTTTTTCTCCCAGCTTGTGCTCTGAAAATTGAACAAATGCATTCTTTAACCCACAAGGAGTTATATCTCATGAACAGAGTAAGACTCTAAAAGATGGGGAGAAAAATCCCTGTGAACAGCTCACTGCTCTGTCTCTCTTGATTTTCCCTCTTCCAATATGTTAAGTAGACATTTTTAGGAGGTAAGCATTTTGGTTGCCCATATTTGCTTCTGTTCTATGGATTCTAACGACCCTATTATAATATAGTAAGTAATCTTCTAGAAAATTAAAAGTAAATCCTATTAAACCAAAATAAGTTGGGCTTAAGTTACTCAAGATGAAAAAATCACTACTATCCTTATGTTTTTGAAGCCCTTGAGTTCCTTTTAGAGTAACAGGAACCAGTCAGAAATCTCCTTTTATTAAAAAAAAGTTGAATAAGGAAATTCTAATAAAAACTGTAACTTATTAATAACTTGTTCACTTACTATACTAGACATAGAGATATGCTCTACATATCATTTATTTTAGGTGAAAGAGCATATGATCCTAAGTTCTTCCATTATAATGTGCATCGAATCTTGATTGATGATCATAATGTTCCCACTCTGAGGTAAGTTTTATACAAAGTGGGCTGTCAGAAAAGATCTAAATATTGGGGTTGATTTTTTGGAAGTTTTAAAATTCACTTAAATATCTTACATTTGATACTAGTGAGATGATGGCATTCTCCATGGAAGTAGAAGAGTGGCTGACTGAAGATAAGGAAAACATCGTAGCAATTCACTGTAAAGGAGGCAAAGGTAAAAACATTTTTCTTTTTCTCTCTCTGTTTTCTAAAGAAATTAGAAAAGTATATTGACATATAATAACAAATATGTACTGCTTTTAATCAGTATTAGTAGTTGTTAGTATTGTATTTTATTAGCTTTAAGGCTAAAAGAAGAGAAGGAAAGAGGAAAGCGAAAGGGATGAAAATACAAATAAAAGGACTAAAGAAGGTAGAGGGTATTTTCCCATTTCTTGACTATTTGGATTTCTTCATTATTGATTTGCAAAAATATCTGTCAAAATGCAAGCAGTGTTTAACTTTAGAAACTATGAGAACAGTTTTATTTTGATTGTTCTTAAACTTTTTGAGACTTTTTTAAGGGTAAGGGAACCAACAACAATGCTATTTCAAAAATCAAAAATTATTGGAATTTTTATAGTGCAATGTTAGAAGGAAGTTGATTTTGGTAGAGGTAAAATGAAAAACAAAGCCATTTGTAAAGCCTACCAATTTGAGAAGTGAGGAAGGTGACATCAGAAGAGAATCCATACTTCACTCTCATGTGAATAATCTATAAGCAGGATGTCATAAATTCCTTTCAAAGTGTTTTATGAGAACACTTGTTGAATATTTTTTTAAATCTTTTTTTAAATGGATAGCAATGTTGTTGTTTGTTGTTTTTTTTTTTTAGATTTATTTATTTATTTATACAAGCACTGGGTACAGTCAGAAGCGCGGGAGGGTGAGAGAATTCACCAGAGCCAGTGCGGGAAGCAGAGCCGGCAGACGGACCAAAGTGCACTGCTGAGGGGAGCAGTGGGCGGCAGGAGAGGTCTGCGCGCCATATGGGACCCTCTTCCGGTGGCCTGGGAGCAGCCAGGAATCGAACCAGCGCTGCAGAGGCTGAGGGCAGCTTTGCAACCCAGCACTCAACTGCTGCGCCACCGGGGAGGCCCCACATGTGGAATATTTTCTACCAGGGAAACTCATTAGAGATCCAGTGTTCAAGGTTTTTATTGGGCAATGGTTATACAGATACCTTCTGCCTAATGTGCACTAAAATTTCCATCTCCCAGAAAGAAAGCAAGTGTTCAAAATAAACCATGTTGTTTGCATAAACCATTAAGGCACATTGAGCCAATATTATTAGGGAATGGGGGGAACCCTCCTGATATCCACTTTCCCAACCAAGGGCCAAACTTGGAAGCAGACGTATGGATAGCAGTCTAAAGCCTACTATGTTAACTCTTTTTTACACAGAGGTATTAGGTCTTTGGAATTTGTTGAGACTTTCTTTGCGATATAATATGTGATTCGGCAGGAACTGTAACTAGTAATTGCATCTCTAGAAAAAAATATATGTTCTGTCATTTTAGGTACATGGGAGCTGAGCAAAGTATCCATTAAATCCACCTTGTTGATCATATTACACAAGTCTTTATAATTATTATTTTTTTGATCTTTCAGAATCTGAGAGAAATGTGTTAAAATCTTCCACCATGATTGTGAATATATTGGTTTCATTCTTTAGTTTAGGTGTTCTTGAAAGATCAGATAGCTGCATCATTAAAATATAATCTCTGTATCCCCATTTTTAGTGTATTTATTGTGAATACTGACATTTGATTTGGACTTATTCTGAAATTGTTGTGTGTTCTATATTAACCACATTATTTTAGTGTCCATTTTTATTTCATTTTATGTAGCATGTGGGTTCTCTCACTCTTTTTTCCTATAATAGTTCAAGGTTTCTTGACTTTAACTACAACTTACCAGTTTGAATCCTCTATTTCTGATCCTCTGAGTTTCTTATTTATTTATTTATTTATTTATTTATTCAAGCACTGGGTACAGTCAGAAGCGCTGGAGGGTGAGAGAATTCACCAGAGCCAGAGCGGGGAACAGAACAGGCAGACTGACAAAATACACTGCTGAGGGGAGCAGCGGGCATGGCAGGAGAGGTCTCTCGTGCCATGTGGACCAGGAGAGGTCTCTCGTGCCATGTGGACCCTCGCTGGCGGCCGGGGATTGAACCGGCACTGCAGAAGCTGCGGGCAGCCTTGCAGCCCAGTGCTCAACCGCTGAGCCACCAGGGGAGGCCCTGATCCTCTGCGTTTCCTTGCCCTTTTATTAGTTTTTTATTTCTCTCTGTCATTTCCATGTGTTTGATAGAGAGGTGGAGATTTTTCACTCCACCACTGGTTCTTTTTTTTTTTTTTTTTTTGTGGGACCCTTGCCGGTGGCTGGGGAACGAACTGGCCTCGCAGCCCAGCACTCAACTGCTGCACCACAAGGGGAGGCCCCACCATTGGTTCTTAAACCACTGTCTTGAGCTAGAAATAGTCTTTAACTTTGAGTCATCTTACTAGATTTATTGAACTTTCATGCAGATAATACTCAGCTTTGGTATTCTCAGTATGCTTACAAAAGTAAAGAAATATCTTTTATAACTTCCGATTCTTAAACATTCTTCATTTATGGGGAAACTATAGAAGAGTAACTTCCTTGCCAGATTTACCAGATAAATAAGACAATGCCAAAGAAAAAGAAGTCTAGCATAGGAGATTTCAAAAATAGTAAACCCAGATATAGTGAAGAAAGATTGAAGAAATGAAAGAAGTTAAGCAATCCTGCAATTATTAGAAAGTCCGTTATATCATTGGGATATAAAGGAGCTCTAGACTAAGATAGATAAATTGATTTCATAAATTTATACATGTCCATTGTGAAATCTACTAAAAGGAATAATTACTATATAAGAAAGTATCTTGAAATAAAATTGGAAAACAACAATTAAACGTGTAAACGCTATAGAACAGTTTTCTCAAAGTGTATATGTTATTATACAATGGGTACTGGTGGGATAATGCACATTAAATTGTCTGGATTTAAATCCTAGGGTCATTGCTAGCCCACTTGGGTGAGTTACATAACCACTCTAAGCTTTAGTTCCCCCACCTGTAAAATAGTGATATAATAGATACCTCAGGGAATTGTTTTGAAATTAAAATGATATAATACTTATTAAAATGTGTAGCAGAGCACCTGAGCCCTAGTAAGTAGTGAATAAATGCTAACTATTGTAATTATTAAAGTGGAACTAAAGACAGCACCAGAGTCATTGATGAAGTAGTGATAGCAAATAGACTAAGGATTCAAGAAGGATTCTCTGTCCTTAACTGTGAAAGGACAGAGAGAAGTTAATTGCTTGGACATTGGGGGTTGATAGAGAAAGTTATTTTATAAGATAGGGAATGTTTATTTGCTAAGGAAAATAATCAGAGAGGGGACTGATAAATTCAAAAGACTGAGTTGAAAGAAAAGGCTGGGGTCTAAAGTCCAAGTGGAGGATTTGGTTGAATTAAGAGAAAATACACCTCATGAGTGAAATTCAAAGGAAGAAGACAAGCACAGATGTAGTCACAAGAAGTTTGCAGGACACAAGGATCAAACTCAGGCTACCTTCGGTGGGCCATTACAGTGGGCCTTCTAGGTTGTAGCACTGACACTTAACCCCTAGGCCACCAGGGAGGCCCCTATAAATGATATTTAAACAGAGGTGTTATACAAGGAGAACTGACAGTATAACGTATGTTGTGACACTCTCAAAGAAATAAGTGAAACGGGTCTACCGTAGCTTAGAAAATTCATGTTGTGCATGAGTAATAATGGCTTTTCTTTGTGTATGTGGGCACGACCAATCCATTAAAGTATATGTATATTAAAATTTCTCCCTGAATTAATGCTCTAGTTGTTGGCTTACAGTTTGGAGATCCACTGTTATCAACCTGAAGTGGGTGGTTTTGCTCATTGCTCAGAAAGCAAAGACCGAACCAGAAGGAATTTCCACAAAGGAAGCTTTATTCCAGGAAAACCACCACAGGGATCTATTCAGCAATCATAAAAAGATAAATTCATGCCATTCACAGCAACAGGGATGGAGCTAGAAGAGATTATGCTCAGTGAAATAAGTCTGAAGGAAAAAGAAAAATATCAGATGGTTTCACTCCTAGGAGGAATCTAGGGAAACAGAAAAAGACAAAACTTGCAAGCAAACTGTACATCTAAGAGATACAACAGGGGACGGGGAGAGAGTGGGGTCAAAACAGGGGAGGGAAGAGCACAAGGGACTATGGTGATGGTCATGGGTGATGAGGTGGGGGGACATTTATGGGGATTTATTCATTTATTGCACAAAAATGAATAACAAGATAAAAAATAAATGATTAAAAAATAAATAAATTTGAATAGCTTGAGCAAAAAAAAAAAAGAAGAAAGAAAGAAAGAAAAAGGGCCTCCCTGGTGGTGCAGCGGTTGAGCGCTGGGTTGCGAAGATGCCCGCGGCCTCTGCAGCACCAGTTCAATCCCCAGCTGCTCCCCGGACACCAGAGGAGGGTCCCACATGGCACGCAGACCTCTCCTGCCGCCCGCTGCTCCCCTCAGCAGTGTGCTTTGGTCCTTCTGCCTGCTCTGCTCCCCGCTCTGGCTCTGGTGAATTCTCTCACCCTCCCGTGCTTCTGACTGTACCCAGTGCTTGTATAAATAAATAAATAAATAAATAAATAAATAAATAAATAAATCTTAAAAAAAAAAAAAAAAAGAAAGAAAAAGAAAAACTACCACAGGGAGCACAGTGGAGTTGGCATTCCAGATGGCTTGCTCTCTCTCTGAGCCACCATTTGAGAGAGTATATAAAGGGAAAGGTGTAAGAGGTGTCTTCCACAGCCTTGGGGAGGCACCAGCTGGCTAGTCAACTGACAGCTGTTAATGTTTCCATCATAACTGCCCCAGGTGCTTTCTATAAGGCACAGGTATTGCACACACACATACTACCTTTGAAAACTGGACACTCAAAACCACAGTGCTTAGCAGGTCTATGTGTATGTTGGAGGGATGGGGAACTCAGTAACCTCACCTTTGATAGTTACACTACCACTTTCTAATTTTCAAGATAAAAAATGAAATCAGCATTAGGCTCTTAGCACCTCTCATAATCTCTATGAGGAATATTCAGAGATATGAGTAATCTCT